TTGGAAGAGGACAACGAAGGGGCGGTACGGGGAAATGGAGCCATTGATGCTGTTCCTGTTGATGAAAATCTGTTCACTGGGGAAGATTTGGATGAGCTAGAAGAAGAATTAAACACACTTGATTTAGAAGAATGACACTAAGCAACTTAATGAACAAATTAAGTCAGCTCAGTATGAGTTGAAAGTGACTACATAAATTTTGTTCCACCTAGAATTCTTCAACAGGATATGTTTATTTACCTTGCTGATTCTGGAGAGCTTACTCTCCAAAGAAAGGAATGTTCTCCCTACTTCTTCTCTTCCAATTTTGACTACATCACATAGTAAGTTCAGAGTAGTTCATGATAAATTGAAATGTGGTCATTTCAGAAAATGATTGTTGTAACTGTCCACTCAAGAAGTATAACTGCTTTTCCAGCTTTTGATTTTCATTGGGCATGCATTATTACCAGGAACAACATAAACCCAAATATAAAAGATTTCATTTAATACAGTTTTTAATGAGTGATTTTATTTTCTTTGTATATATGTATTATAAAGATTGCCTAAATATGAACACTGTACTTCACAGAAGAAATAACATATGCAAATTCAGTGTTGTATATCTTTGGACAATTAGATGGCTATTTGAGAGGGAGCCTTTTTGATCTGACAGGATCAGCAATGATACCCTGTGTTAAATTGTTCTCAACTTCTCTCTCTTCCTTTTTGCCAATAAAGTTGTAAATAAAAAAATCACACATTAAAAAAAAAACACACAAAAAAACCTAACATGTAAATCTCCAAAAATAGTGCTAGTCACAGAGTAAGAATACTATAAATGTTAACTGTTTCCATCTCCATTTCATAATCAGGGAAGTAGGTTTTTAAAAGGAAATGAATACACCAGGATGAAAATTCATTTCCTATTCCAACTCTTGATTGTGGTACTTATTTACTTGCAGATTAGATGATGATTCCATTTAATATATTAGGTTAGGAAGGCATATTATAATGTTAAATAATTTGTACAGAGTCACAAGATTTTCAGAACTTAAGCTCAAATTAGACAGATCACATTGCCCTTGTTATTTTTTATTAAGTAGACTTTATTATGCCAGGCACTGTGAAAGATGAAAGAACATGCAAAGCATGGTATTTATTTTTAGATAATTTGACAGCTTCAAGGTCATATCTAAGATTATTAAAGTAGGAAAAGTAACATGGGCACATTAGGTTCAATAGTGGTTGAAACAATAGTGAAGATTCTGAATTATGAGAAGTCCAGCTTTTTAATTCTATGATCGCATCACTCTTTAACTCAGCTATGAATGTCCTAGTCCATCCCCCTCCAACCATATCACACACTTCTCACCTGGAAATGTCTCACTTTGTTGGTTGTTTTTCCTGTTCAGGCAATTCTGACTCACCCACTGATAATATTTCAAAACAAAATCATGTATGTACAAATCCCCAAATATGTAGTTCTGATTTCTATATATACTAATATACATACTCTAATCTCCCCCTCAAGCAGTAAGGCAAACTTGTTATAAAAATACTCTGTACTATGGCTCCAAACTTCCATTGTCATTCTAGGATACCAAAATGTTACTACCTTACAAACTCTACTAAGAATGGTTCTGTTCTGTAACACAGGGTTTATCATAAATCAGAATCTACAGACAACAATTAACAGTGGTAGTCAAATAAAAGCCCTGGTGGTATAGTGAATTCCATGTGGTGCTACTAAACAAAAGGTTGACAGTTCAAATCCATCAGTCATTCTCCTCAGAAGAACAGTGGCCCCCTTTAAGTTTTATAATTTGAGACTAGACAACATCTCAATAGCTTTGTATTAACCATTAATTTCTATCCTGATCCCTTCCTTCAAGTTTAGAAGAACCAGAGGCAATCTGGTCAATGTGGAGAAAGGCATATGCACTAATCAAGGAACAGTGGTGTCGAGCTTCTCTTCCTTCCCACTGCAGAAACTCAGGATCTTGATTATGTGAGTTTGATAGCTTTATTTATCTAAAATCCTTTCTTGAGACCAAAAGTGATGAGTGAAGCAATGTATTATAAGGAGATGTCAGAAAGTCAAGCTGGATTCAGAAAAGGCTATGGAAGAAGAACATAATTGTGATATAATCAGGTGAATATTGACTAGAAACAAAGAATATCAGAAAGATGCTTTATTGAGTTTTATTGATGATGAAAAGACATAAATTGTGGATAACATTGAAAAGAATGGGAATTCCTGAACATTTCATTGTTTGTGCTCACATGAAACCTGTGCATGGACCAAGGAACAGTTCTTTGAATGGAACAAGGGAACTTGTATATCAGGGTTGTAGCCTTTCTCTATAACTATTCAATCTATACGTAGAGCATATAGTCTGAGAACTTGGACTATATAAAGAAGAATGTGGCATCAGAATTGGATGAAGACTCATCAACAACCCATGTTACGCAGGTGACACATCTAAGCTTGCTGAAGTCAAGGAGACTTGAAGAAAATCAAAGACTGTAACATTCAATATGGATTTCATCTCAACATCAAGAAAACAAAAAGGCTCACAGTTGGACAAATTAGCATCATCATGATAGATGGACGTTGTCAGTAACTTTCTTTTACTTGGATCATAATCAGCAACCATGGAAGCAGTGGTCATGATGTCAAATGATGTTTGACATAGGATATATCTGTTGCCAAGGACTTATTTAAGTGTGCTTGACAAATCATGGTACTTTTTTTCCCCTTGATGATTTGAGTGAAAGTATAAAGCATATTAATTTTTCTTTCAGTTATCCATACACATTTTGTTTCATAACATTAATCCCATTACCCTGTGTCTGATCATTAACTTACTGGGTATTGTCTTTCCTTTTACTTGTATTAATAAATATCTATTGTCTGTTTATTAATTTTTAGTCTTTTCTCCTTCCTTTCCCATCCCTGGTAACATCCTTTCTTCAGATATAATAATCTTGTACAATATTTGTTCTTTTGTGATGTACTTATTTCACTCAGCATAATGACCTCTAGATTTTTGCCAAGGGAAGAAATTAAGGGGCTGAATAGAAGATTTCAAAGTGCAGCATAGGAAGACAAAGTATTATAATGAAATGTGCAAAGAGCTGGAGTCAGAAAACCAAAAGGGCCTAACTTGCTCAGCATTTTTTAAGCTGAAGTAACTGAAGAACAAATTTAAACCTCACGCTGCAATACTTAAGGATGCTTTGGGCAGAATATTAAATGATCCAGGATGCATTAAAAGAAGATGAAAGGGGTATATGGAGTCACTGTACCAAAAAGAATTGGCAGACACAGAATAATTTCAGGAAACAACATAATAAGCAAGAGCCTGTGATGAAGCAGTTCAATCTACTGTGAAGGAATTGGCAAACAACAAGGCCAGAGGAACTGAAGGCATACCAATTGTCATATTTCAAAAAACAGATGCTGCTCTGAATGTAGTCACCAAATTGTGCCGAGAAATCTGGAGGGCAACCACCTGTCCAACTGACTGGAGGAGATCCATATTTGTTCCCATTCCAAAGAAAAAGTGACCCAACAGAGTGTGGAAATTATCAAACAATATCATTAATATCACCTGCAAGCAAGATTCTGCTGAAAATTGTCCCAAAATAGTTGAAAGCAGAGAGTACCAGAGGAATGTCTATCTGTGTTTCAGTGACTATACAAAGGCATTTGACTATGTGATCACAACAAACTGTTGCTAACTCTGAGAAGAATAAGAATCCAAGAACACTTGATTGTGTTTATGTAAAACCTGTACTTGGACCAGGAGGCAGTTATCAGGACAGAGCAAGGGAACACGGCATGGTTCAAAATCAGGAAGGGTGTACGCAGGGATGTGTCCTATTGCCATATCTTTCCAATCAATATACAGAACAGATCATCCAGGAGGCTGTGCTCTATAATGAGGAATGTGGTATCAGGATTGGAGGTAAATTCATCAACAACTTGCATATGAATGTCACAATCTTGCTTCTTGAAAGTGAGGAGGACCTGAAGCTTTTGCCACAGATGGTCAAGGACTACAGACTTCAATATGGATTGAAGCTCTACATCAAGGAAACAAAGCTTCTCACCACTGGGCCAATTAGCAGCATCATTGACAACCTGCGTTATGCAGATGACACAACCTTGTTTGCTGAATGTGAGGACAACTTGAAGTACTTGTTACAAAAGATCAAACACTGAAGCCTTCAATCTGGATTACATCTCAACATTAAGAAAACAAAAAGACTGAAAAAAAAAAGAAAACAAAGAGACTGATAAGCAATATCATGATAGATGGAGAAAAAAATTGAAACTGCCAACTATTTAATCTTACTTATATCCACAGTCAATACATCTGGCAGCAGCATTCAGAAGAATGGGAGCCTTATTGCATTGGGAAAGTCTGCTGTCAAGGGCATCTCCATATTACTGAGGAGCAACAGTGTCAGTCTGAGAACTAAGGTCTTTCTAATTCAAGTCATGATCCTTTCAAGCATTTGTTATGCATCTGAGAACTGAACAATGAATAAGAATGACAGAAGAAGAATTGATGCCTTTCAGTTGCAACAACAACAACTCTATCTATCTATCTATCTATCTATCTATCTATCTATCTATCTATCATCTATCTATCTACATATTGTTGTTGTCAAGTGTCATAGAGTCGCAGGCGACTCATAGCAACTGTATGAACGAAGTCCTGGACACTTCCTGTATAACTTTCATCCTTTCTCCAGGTTCATAGGGTTTCCAGAGGCAATTGTTGAAGTGGATGCCACTCCTGCTTCCAAGCTTGTTTTGATCGGGGAGCTTCACTAAACACTGTCCACCATGGGTAACAGTATTCGGCTTCACAGCAACCACGAGTTACCTCTGTACAGCAAGTGTACAGCTCTCTTTTAAGGAAGGCCCAAATAGTAAAGTGTATATATATTAGTAAAGTGTATTATATATTAGTAAAGTGTATTATATATTAGTAAAGTGTATTGTATTATATATTAGTAAAGTGTATATATATATATATACATTAGTAAAGTGTGTATATACACACACACACACACACACTTATGTGTAGTTATGTATACATATATAAATACACATACACACACAATCTTACATTTGTAAT